GGTTTTTTCTAATTAACTGTATTTTGTGATTAACACCGGCGAAACGGTAGAGACAGACAATACTGTCGCCTCTGTTAATGATAGAGGCAGACAACACTGGTGCAGATTGTTGCCAGATCCTGCAGTTCAAAACCCACAAATAACACTCCATTAAACTAAACTCTAGAACAAGTTATCAGCATATATATAACCAAATAATTAACACTTTGTTTGAATAGGTTCAATCAATTGCATTTAGTATTCCCTTGTGACATCCAAGTCATACGGTATGATGATACGCCGTCGAGAGTCAGCAACAGCGGCGTCCGTCCCATCTTCCATGCATGTCAAGCAAGTTTGAAGCGGCATCTGACGACGATCACCGGAATATCTCTCGGTCTTCGGATGCATCGCTCCGGCAGCAACCTCAGGAAGCAGAAAACAAGAAATTGTATACACTGAAGAATAGTTTATAAGTTTATAAAACTTCATATACGCTGCCGGCGATTTGAATTTGAATAATATCACATGCAATGCAAGTCGATCGGCTGCATGCATGTGTTGACGAGCAGTGCGCAGCGCGTCGATCGCGCCCGCTCTCGGTCGTGGGGTGAGCTGATGGAGGTGGTCGATGGATTCGAATCGCGTGGCGGTCACCGTGGTCGGTGATGGACCGAGATTAGGGTTGACTCCGACTACCGATCGGTCCAACTGCCGACTGCGATCGAGCTGATCATTTGCGTGCAGGGCCAGGCATACGTTGAGCTCTTTTTTAGACTTGGATTGGAGTCTATCGATCCACAGATTTAATGCACACTGGTTGCTTGAAATTTGGCTATATATATTAACTAGCAAAACATGCACGTACGTTGCAACAGGACGTACAATTTATTACTCAGTGATTGTACAATTTTTGTAAATTTAAATGAGTTTGGTCCAACCATGAATCAAATAAATATAATTCCGTATGAAAAATTGATAAGAGATTAACTCAAAAAATTGGTGATTATTATGTGCATTTATTATGAGTTTGAAACGGTTTAAGTTGAGCCACACGCCTACACAAGCATCATGAATAGGTTCGAAGAGCTAGAGCATGTGTAGTGTTAAGGGATGTTTTACAGTTCTAATCTCAAGATGAGAAAAGTTACAACTAAAAAGATCATTACTTCCAGTTTACTATTTTAAAAAACAATTATAACCAAAATTTTCTCATTACCCCCGGTTTACCTATTTCACATGGAAAAAGGTAACCAAAAATGTTGATCCTTCATACACGAAACAAATATGAAACCATCATGTACTTAAATACGTTGGAAAAAAGCCAAATAAATCAGAAATTATCATGTACACGTACATAAGTACGTATGAGATTTATCTCCACCTTGAAAAAAAAATAAAAAAAATCATGTCCCATACAGAATCGGAAACCATCATGTAATTCTCAAAAAAAGAGGAACAAAAAATCATATAAAAAGTACATGGAAAATTAAAAGGGGAAATATTATGTAAGGAAAGCAGAGAAACATCACGTGAGGGAAAACAAATCCATCAAAAAAAAGTGGCGTGGAAAAATAATGGAAAAGCAAATTTAGAACATCCTATATATAACGATAAAGATATGACACGATAATTTTGTCGATTCAATAGTTGAAGTATATATATGTAAGTATTCTAAGACGGCTTATTGGAATAGGAAAGGAATTGTACAATCCAAGAGATAGCACGAGGTAATTGTGTATTGAAATAGGAAAGAAATTGTACAATCCAAGAGAGAGAGCATGAGATAATTGTTGCAAGCAGGTGATGTCTTTTCCTATACGTCTGCAAAATCAGCCACGACAAAAGCTGACGTACTCCAACCGTCCACGAAACCAAAGTGAGGAGTCGTGGTTTAATATTCAGATAAGATTTATGTAATTTGTATTTTTGTTTGTCCTTTTCTATTTGATCAGGATTTTTATTCCTATTCAGTTTAGGATTAGAATTATAGCTATCCAAGTTATCTTAAGAGTCCGGATCATATAGACCCCATATATTTTGGAATCGGACTCTGTATCACGCTAGACAAGAGCTATTCTAACTCGTATGAGAACGGGTTATATATATAAGTCCGGACGGAAGAAGCTCTTTATTGTCCGGTAGTTAGAGGGAGACGGATAAAAAAAAATGGACGGACAAAAAAAATAAGCAAAAATTTTGCCTCTTCATTATTAGATATAAAAGATATAGATCACAGTAGTTTTCTTTTCCACTAACCCGTCTCTTCCAACCAGCTAGCGCAAGGACTCGAACTACTCAGTTCAACAACAACTTAGCCCCCGTTTCGCAGATCAGAAGCCAGAAGCAGATGAAACGATTCTCGGTGTTTTGTTTGCCTACGCATGTGAAACGGTACGGTTTTGGGTGGTTTCCACACTAATTCCATTTCTTGCCTCCCCTATGCACTATAATTTTTTTAATTCTTTCTAAATGCAACACATTAAAAGTCGGTGCATACGTGGCATGCTGTGTGGAATTGAGCAGAGCCACGGAGTGACAGCCATATTGGTTTGAACTTGTCAGCCTAGTTTACATGGTACAGTATTTTTTTTCTCACAACAAAACAACATCAGCCGATTTATCAGCCGCAAACAAATCATCGGCCGAGCAGCTTGGTCGTTTGTCGCAAACTCGAATTTGAAACGGCGAAACGCGAAGCGTCGGCGTCATTGCATGACTGGAAAACGAACGGGCACTGTGCACAGGCTTTGCAATTTGCAGTCCAGACTGTCCAGTCCATCGACGATGGACCATATGTGTTGTTCTGCGCGCAGCCCACAATCCACAAGTGACAAGCCCACAAGGCAAGGCATCAAGGCCCAAAGGCCAATTATGAAGTACCTGTCTATGGACCATGGCCCATGGGGACATTCTGCGATGGCAACTCCAGGCCTCCACCTGATGGCGGCTCTGGTCCGGCGGTTAGTGCTTGTCGATTGATTCGCATCCCCTGCTGTGCCCAGGTGAATTGCAGCAGCCACGCCATGGCTTGGCTATTTGGTCAAGGCAGCGGTATGGTCCCCAGGATTAGCCGTTGTGTTGTTCAGTTGTTGTTTGTTTGCTAGGAGCCCTGCACTATGGAATGTGAGAACAAATAACAGTTTGCATATGCATGTCCATTTGCTTGGGCATAGCATTTGATGTAGGCATCATATGTCTCTGTGTTGCTGCTATGATTTTGGTTGGAAAAAAGCAAGGAAACCAACTGTTAGTATGAACTGAAAGAAATCGCAGGTTAATATGCAATGTGCCATTTGTAATTGGGATTAATCAGCATATGTAATGTTCGGATCAGCTGTGTGCTATCTCAGGATGGTTGAGGCTGTAACTTTGTTCTATTTATCTAAAAAAAAAGTTCGGATAGAAGCTGAGACTGGGACCGTCTAGTTGTTTTCTGACAAACATTCTTGACCACAATGGTTGTAAAAGGAATGATTTTTGGGTAATCAGGTTCAACGAGCTGCATTGGTTGCGTTGAAGGGAGGCAACGACTTGCTTGTTAGATTAAGCCCTGTATAGTCGGTGGAAGAGGAAGCAGATCTGCATCCATACCGACGGAGAAGAGGAGGGGCATCCCCTTCATACCGTTGCCCTATGGGCCGCCCTTCCTGCCCCGTTCTGAAGGGAAACGGGTACGCTACACACTAGTAAATTTACCACGTTCAACCAAGATAACATGCGAGTAGAGGATCATGGATCATTACCATTAGACGCATAGAGCAATAGAAGAAGAGCGCGCCGATGTAGTGGAAGTAGTCAAATGCGCATTGGCGGACGTTGCCCCCCCTGGCCTGCAAAAAAAAATTTAACAGGCTTTAGCCCAGCCCAAAACTCACGGCCAGCAGAGGCGCAGAGCAGACGGCCTCACGAAGTCACGACCAAACGCATCGCTGCAGCGCCGCTTCTGGCTTCTCCTCGCGCGTCACAAGAAGCGCAGATCGCGCCCGCCGCCTCCTCCTCAGGCTCATGGCTCGCCTCGCTTTTCATGCGCCAGCGCCTCCCTCGCCCCTCCCGCCTCTCCCCCCTCCAGATCGGCCAAGCTCCGCGCGCAGGCACACCACGGGCAAATGAGCCAAGAAATTGGCAGCCAGCCGGAGAGGACGGAGCCGGGGAGGGCGGGCAATGGCGTGCAATTACAGCCTGTGGCCGGACGGGCAGCCCCCCCAACCGCCAAATTTCTGTGTGGCGGGTCCTGAGACGAGCTAATCGACAAAGTTGAGAAGTGAGAACTGATCCCTCTGCATGCGGCTCTGCCTCTCTTTAATTCCTCTTTTATTTTTTTTTATCGGATCCGATTGGTTTTACTTTGTAGTTGTAGAATGGAAAAAAATTGATAAGAAAGATGCTTCTACTTCTACTCAAGAGAGTCGGGTTGTGCAAAAAAAAACCGCATTGAGCTTGATATGAATGATATAGTTCTTGATCCAGTCTTAGAAAGCCAATTGATGAATTCCACCATGATATTAGGGATGATGCTAGGAGAGCATATTTACAGATGAGTCCATATCAACCAAATTGTGAGTATGAAAGAACAACGGTAAAACTCAAACTAGAGGTTTTGTTAAATCATGGTTTACTCAATTTGATTGGTTAGAGTACAGTCCTGTCAAGGATGCAGCCTATTGCTTTTATTGCTACCTCTTTAAGCCACCACCAGCAAGCAATTTTGTTGATAATGAGACATTCATTAGAGTAGGGTTCAAAAATTGGAAAAAAAAAGGGAAAGGCTTCTTTGCTGAAGCATGCTCAATCAATTGATGGCTACCATAGTGCAAAGAAGAAAAGCGAGCAAATGATTTCACAAATTAAAGGCAAAGTGTAGAACATGTGTGGGCAGTAACAACTGCAGTAGAAGAGGAGGCATATAAAGCTCGTTTAACTATAATGTTAGGCATTGCTTGATTTCTTCTTTTGCAAGCTCTGGCATTTCGTGGGCATGATGAGTCTAAAACATCTAAAAATAAAGGGAACTTTTGGAGATGCTTGATTGGTATAGAAAGAAGGATCCTAAGGCTGCACTTGTGATAGCTGAGAATGCTCCAGGGAATAATCAAATTAATTGTCCAACAATTCAAAAAGATTTGGTAAGGGCTTGTGCAGAGGAGACAAGTGAATTAATTAAGAGTGAAATTGGAGATCGTTGGTTTGTGGTGCTTGTTGATGAGGCTCGTGATGCATCAATTAAGGAACAAATGGCCGTGGTTGTGAGGTATATATCATCTATTCGTATTTCATTTCTTTTGTTTTATGGCTTCCAATTAACACTATGTTTCCTTTTGTTTTATAGGTTTGTCAATGATAAAGGAAGTGTGATTGAGAGGTTCCTTGGCCTACAACATGTTTCTGACACCACATCATCTTCACTGAAGGAAGCATTGGTTTCTATGCTTGCAAGATACGGGGTTATCTATAGCCAAGGTTAGAGGACGAGGATACGATGGAGCTTCAAACATGAGAGGCGCTTCATGGGTTACAAAGGCTGGTATTGAATGAAAACCCTTTTGCTTTTTACATCCACTGTTTTGCTCATCAATTGCAGCTTGTGGTAGTTGTTGTAGCCAGATGTTGTGCTTTAACTGATGATTTCTTCAATTATGTCACTTCAGTTGTCAATATTATTAGTGCTTCTTGCAAGAGAAAGGATCAACTTCTCCAAAAACACCATGATACTCTTGTTCAGCAATTAGATAGTGGTGAAATATCTCCTGGGAGAGGGAAAAACAAAGAAACTAGTCTTGCTAGGCCTGGTGATACACGATGGGGTACACATCACAAAACATTAGTACGTCTTATGCTCATGTGGGAACCTGTGCTTGAGGTGTTAGAGAATATTAGTGATGATGGTACTGATGGGGAAAAAACTATAGCATCTGGATTGATAGAAAAAATGGAGTCATTTCAATTTATGTTCATATTGCATCTGATGATTAGAGTATTGGGGACAACTCAAGACCTATCACAATGTTTGCAAAAGAAAAATCAAAACATTGTTCATGCAATAGGATTGATTGGTTCTGTGATGAGAAATATAAATGCCATGAGGGAAAATGGTTGGGATGATCTTTTAGAGAAGACAAAAGCCTTTGCTGCCAAGCACAATATAGACATTCCTAATATGGAAGATATGATACCAATGAGAGGTCGTTCAAAATGTCGTGGAGCCAAATATGTGACCTACTACCATCATATTCATCATGGGATTTTCAATGTTGTCCTTGATCAAATAATTTGTGAGTTGAACAATCGATTTCCAGAAAGATCAACTCAACTATTGAGATGTGTTGCTTGTCTTGATCCGACAAATGAGTTTGCCAACTTTAAGATAGAGAAATTAGTTGAGCTTGCTAAGATTTATTATGCTGACTTTAGTGATTATGAATGTGAAAAGCTAAGAACTGAGCTTGAAAATTTCATGGATGAAGTCAAACATGATGAAGAATTTTGCTCTTGTATTGATCTTGGTGGCCTTGCTGAGAAGATGGTTAAAACTGATAGACATACATATTTTCCTTTGGTGTATCGCCTCATTGAGCTTGCATTGATATTGCCCGTGGCAACAAAGAATAGATTGAAAGAGCCTTCTCTCGCTATGAATATTATCAAGACCGATGGGAGGAATAAAATGAATGATGATTGGATGAATAATAGCATGATATGCTATATTGAGTGGGATTTGTTTGCATCCATTGAAGATGATAAAATTTTAAAGCGCTTTCAAGGCTTAAGAAACCGTAAGATAAACTTGCCACCTAAGGTCCCAAGGTGCGTATTGTTTTAGAGCTTTTCTTTGTATTTGTTATCTTGGTTATTGAAGAAGTGTTTGACATTTAAAAATTATGTAGCATTGAGCGTGGCGGTTCAAGTGGTGTGAATTCTTGAAGATGGAAGACTCCTTGTATTTGGTACTTTTCTATGCTTATTATCATAATTCTATGTATCTTTGACTTTGAGCACTTTGAATCAATTATCTAATTCTATGCTTATTAGTGTACTGTGTCCAGCGAGCAAATTTTTTTTGGCCTATGTTGTTTAGCCCCCCCCCCTTGGTCCATTTCTGGATCCGCCACTGGTCGTACGTCCTCATGTACGGGCAGCAGCGACACGTTTGCCCGTGCTCCTCACGTTCGTTGCTGATCAACACTACAGCAACAGCAGCAACTTCTTCTCCACGATATCCACACGTGAAGGGATGAAACGCCATGATGCTGTTGTGCTAGCACCGCGAGCCCAGCGAGAGCAAGGGTGGCGGCAGCGGCTTGGGTACTCGCAACCCTAGGGAGAAAGGTGGCAACGGCTAGGTTGTGAGATGTGTCCACCAACCCGAGCCCCTTGCCCCTTCGTATATATAGACTTCCGTTGATGGGCTTTTACCCTAAAGGCCCATTAGCGTCTTAATGGATCAGAATTGCCTCTTGGGCTTATAATCAACACATTCGTCGTCTTTGGGCAAAAGGAGAGCCGAGGGCTGGTGAGGAGGGGTCGAGCTCGGATATCACCTCCTCCACCACCTTCGCCAGATCTACACAGCCCCACAGTTCGCCGATGACTAGTGAGGAGGGGTTTGCGTGCCCTTGCCGCCGCCCTGCCCTTGCCCTCGCACGTCGCCAGTAGCAGCCGGCTCGCTGTAAACTATCGGCATGATGAGCGGGAAAAGTCTAGGTGGGTATGGGCGGAGCTGTCGTCGTGACCATTGAGTGCTAGAGCTGGAATGAAGAAGACTGGTTGGTTTGGTCAAGAAAAAGATATCCATCTAACTATACTATGATAATCCATCAGAACTATACTACTCAAAACATTATCATTCTAATATAAATTTACCATTTTATCTTTAATTACATAAAAAATAATAAGAATCTAATTTATTTTGTGCTAGTTCCACCAATTTAGTATGCACCTGGTGCCTCCCGAGTACCTCTGCTTTTTTAGTTATTCGGTTGTTCCTCACCAACCGTCCAATTTTCTCCAACCATAACAAAATTTTCTCAAATCTGTGGGTGTCCATGTTGTCTAGTAGGGAGGGTTGATTTTTTTAGGCTACTTTTGTGAATATTTTGACCTCAAATTCTCTGCAAAAATAGTACATTGGCCTAATGTTGCTTTTTTTTTAATGAGACCAATTAGCTCTTTTTACATATTCTGAACTGAAATATTATGCTATTGGCCTGCAGCTAAGGATGAAAACGGAACAGAAATATCCCGAACCGAACCGCATCATTTTCTATATTTAATCCAATCGAATCCGTATTTTCTTGTCCGACTTTACCGTTTTCGCTTTCGCATTTGAGATGTTTCGTATTTCAAATGTAAAAGTAGAAAACGGTTTACACATTTTTCGACCGTTTTCTACTTTTCTACTTTTAATTTGAAATATTCCGAATTCAAAAATCGGTTTAAACCGAATTTGGCCAACTGCACAGGTCATACAGCCTAATTACAGGCTGCTCACCACGCAGCTGCGTTCTTTCTACTGGTGGCTAGCTGCCCTCTCTTATAGACGACACTCAGCCTCATCTCTCTTATTATGTATTTGGTCGTGCACTTGTTTAATGCTATGCACTTGAACTAGATCATGCACTTGTTAGTTGTGAACTTGTTATGTATTTGGTCGTGCACTTGTTTAATGTTATGCACTGTGGGTCGGTATTTCGTATTGAATTTTCGCATACCGACCGTGTTCGACATAATTCCGCTAGAATTGGTTCGTTTCCGAAATTCTAGATATTCCGTAAGTTCGTGTTCGTTTTCGTGTCCGGCTTGTCCGTTTTCGCTTTCACTTTCGTATTTCAAATGTAAAAGTAGAAAACGGTTGAGGAGTTTTTCGACCGAGTTCGACCGTTTTCATGCTTACCTGCAGCAAACCTATGTTGTGGAGGTCAATGAGGCATCCCTGGAAAAAGAAGTTGAAGTTGGATTCCTGATTTATGGAAAGCAGATGAACCTGAACTCCTGCTGATGATTAATGACTCTAGAGGTGAGAGTTTTGAGTCCTGATTGTTTGTGCCTTGGGATGAGAGACTGCGCCGTGGGGTACCTCTTCCTTTTATTCGAACTCGACTCGAGTCGCCACAATGTTTAGCGGAAGGACAGGGCTAATGCGCGACCAGGCGCGCAATCGAGCAAGCGCGCGACCCCAAACAGCCTGCTTAGCTGTGCACGTTCTCCCACGCTGCAGAGCATGCGCCCGGACAGCCTGCTTGTGTGTAACACGTTCTCCCACGCAGCGGGTGAAAACAAAAAAAAATCAAAACATTTTATTTAAAATGATATAACTTTTGAATGATTTATCCGTTTTCAATTCCGTTCGCATCGTAATGTTCTACGTGACGAGGCTAACAAAATTAGACCCTACTTGCCTATATTTCGAAAAAATTTATTTAAGTAGCAATTTATGTGTAAAAGTGTGCTGCGAGATTTATGAAGGAGTTGCTACATGTAATACTAAACTTGATACTCTAAAAATATATCAAAGTTTTTACATGGTATGCACATCAATTGTTACCATAGGAATATAATAAGTTTGTTATATAGTATTTACATAAAGGTATTAACAAATAAACGAGAGTAGCGGACCAAAAATAAGACAAGTTGCAACCTAGAGGGGCAAATTATTTAAAATAAACATTGCATAAGCACAATTAGGGTGGCAAGTTATTATAAAACATATTACAAAAAGCCGTGAAACATGACTTCATCATCAACTGGGGCATTTATTAAAAAAAATAGGGTAGCGCAAAAAAAAACTAAGCCTGGAAACATGATTATATGACAATTGGAGAGACATTTATTAAAAGGACAAGAGTAGCGGCAAAAAAAAAGACAAGTTGCACTCCTAAGAGGCAAATTATTAGAAGAAACGTTGCATAAGCTGCCAACTTAGTGGGAAAAGTTATTATACAACTCATAACTCATTAAACAGTAACTAAAATAATGGAACTCATAAAAGGGAAAATGAAATAAGGGAACTCATAACTCATTAAATCAGTAACTAAAATAAAAATTGAAACAAAAAATGAAATATTTAAGAGCAGGATATATTGAAGAACAATTAATATGCAAAATTTAGGAAGGCATTCAAACCTGAAAGGGAAATCAAAAAATTGAAATTGCTATAACAAACTATAACTGAAATTGACAAAAAAAACTGAAATTGGCAAATAAAAACTAAAAACTAAAGTAGACACAATGAAAAACAAATAACTGAAACATAAAACTAAAAATTAAAGTAGGCATTCGTAGCTGAAAGGGAAACTAAACCACTGAAATAACTACCGAAAAATGAAACTGAAAATGACTTTAAAAAATTATCTGAAATTAAAAATAGAAACTAAAAACTAAAGTAGACACAATGAAAAAAAAACATGTGAATGAAATTGAAAACAACAACCACAAAACTCAACTGAAAACTAAAGAAGACAAAATGGAAAACAAAAAGAAGAATTGATAAATAGACAATAAAAAATAAAGAAAACTCAGTAAAAACAATAATCTGAAACATAATACTGAAACTGAAATTATAAGATACTAAAACTAAAATTGCAAACAAAAAATATACACCATGAAAAACAAGAAAATGAAACTGAAATTACCAGAAAATAAAAATGAAACTGACACATGAAAAATGAAACCTAAAGAAAAAACAATGAAAACCAAAATAAAAAAGAAGGATAAAAATGTAAAAAAGAAAAGAACTGAAATTGACAAATATATAATAAAAGAAACTCAAAGAAAACAGTAAAATAAAAACGTTGAAACGGACACGCATCACACATAAACGGTGGTTCTTGTCGTTTTGTGCACCACGAGACATCCGTAGTACGACGCGTGTATGGCTGCTCCTATCGTCCGGAGCATCCATCGCCGTACTGGACGGAGGGACCTGCTAGCAGCTAGGTTTTTTTTTTTTACAACAGCTAGCCGCTAGCTTTGAAATGGGCCAGGCCGCGTGCGGCAGGGGGTCGCTCGCTCCCACCCGAGCGCGTTAGCTTTTGCGTGCCGAGAGCGCGGGAGTCAAGCAGATGGGCCTCCCCAACAAGTGCAGCACAAGAGCTCATGGCCCATCCGGATCTCTGTTGCTTTTCCATCCTGGGCCAAGCCCTACAGGGGGACGATATTAGGGTGGCTAACATTCAGCAGCGTTAGGCCAGTCCTAACATAGATTTCGAGCTCAACAAAAAGGTGCAAATGTGCCATGTACGTAACGTAAATATTATGGCATAACATTTGCGTTATGATGAGAGGGAGAGGGATTTCATCATTGATTTTTTTATATGTCATTTACTAAAACTTTTATTCTTGTTCTACCACATAAACAACTTGTCAATGCCATTATCCATAATTTTACTACCTGCTCGGCTGCACTCAACGGCGCTGGAGTTTGGGTTAGCCAGCTCCTTGAAAGTCTCGATGGAACTCGTCGGCTGGGCCCAACTTTAATTCAGCCCACTTCTCAACACCGACGGGCTCCGTCTCATCTGTCAACTCTGATGCCGTGACATGGTAAATGCCATGTTCGCTTGGCTGATAAGCCATAACTAAAAGTATGTTGACTGATTTATTATAAGAGAAAAATATTATTCGTTGATTAAAAAAGTACGATTTATAAGTCAAGCGAACAGAACGAAAACCCACAGCTTCCTTTTAGACTACCCACAGTGATGGACAAAAACCAATGCTGATTGCTGAGAAGGTTGTCAGCGTAAAAGGAGGTTCTTTCATTTTCATGTCGTCTTCGTCTGCTGATGCAGGGACTAACATGCGATCGGTTGCCTGGTCATGTCTCGCTGAGAATGGGACGCGGGCGGCAAGATGCATGCATGTCCAACGCGACAATGGCCTCCTACTCCTACCGGTCTCACCAATGCGCAACACCGCAGAATCCGGGGGTTGGATTTCGTTGCGGATTTCGCTGCGTTGTATGAATTCAGCCTCGCTTGTAGCCGGGAGTCACGCTTCGTCGGACAGGTTGAGGGTATAGCCAAACTTGACTGTAACACTACTACACAAATAATTTTACGAGACGATACCCTTTTATTAATCACACAATCCAACAGCCTCATAAAATGCCTACGATTAACGGAGACGATCGTTTTTCATTTACCGAGGCGGTTAGAATTGCTCGCTTTGTAAAATCAATAAAAATAACCGCTCCTAAAATCGATTTATAAAAGAGCCCCACCTCAAAAAAATCGGACAATTTTTCGAGGGGGCCTCCTAGTGTTAATGTGGCCGAGGCCCAACCAAAGCCCTACAGAACTTCCTACCAGGCTTATATAAATATCAGCACTTAGGTTTCACACCTCTCCTCTCGGCTTTTCTCTTTCTCTCTCCTCTCCCCACGCGACCGCTTTGCCCTCCCTCCCTCCGAGCCCGACCTCCTCCCTCTCCTCCGAGCCCCTCCCCATCTCCCCACAAGCAAGCACCTCCCTCCCCACACGCGCGGCAAGACTCCTCTCTCTCCCAGCAGTAAGGCCTCCTCCGAGTCCTCCTTCTCCCCAGTGGCAGCAGATGGCGTCAGCCCTCCAGTGACATGCCAGACAGTTCAAGAACACGCGACACGCCCTCCAACTGGATCCAATGGTGGGGTGAGCAGAGGAGCTGATCCGGCAGCGGTACGCTCGGAGGAGCCGGATCCGGCTGTGACGTGCACGGGAGGGCGCCGCCAATGGTGGGGCGCGCGCGGAGCAGGCGGGCTCGACGGTGCGCTCCAAAACGGGCTCGCAGGCAGGCTTTCTTTTTTTTATTTTTTTATTGATTTGTCGAGGCGGGTACTCTGACCGCCTCAAAAATAATGATTTATGGCGACTTTTGGACCGAGGCGGACGTGTTGCCCGCCTCGGTAAACCAAAAATCCCCGCATCCAATAAAAACTGTAGTAGTGTAAGCCAAGATAAGTCATCAACAAACAAGTTTATTTATAGCCTAATTCATACAACAACTAGTCTATTTCTCCGGTATAAATTATTTTATATTTATATGGGACCACCTGTTATTGTCATGCATAGAGTCTCATGGTATTCTAAGGATGCGTTTGGTTCCCAAAATTTTTTGTACAGTACCCATCACATCGAATCTTGCGGCATATGCATGGAGTACTAAATATAGACGAAAAAAAAACTAATTGCACAGTTAGGTGAGAAATCGCGAGACGAAACTTTCGAACCTATTTAGCCCATAATTAGACACTAATTACCAAATACAAACGAAAGTGCTACACTAACTAAAACCTAAAAAATTTTACATCTAAACGCGCCCTAAATTGAAAGAGAAGCCTTGGTTTCCGTGATCAGCTCGGAGACGAAACCAGCGACAAGCTATGCACTCTCTCTCTCCTCCATCACATGCATGGCGCTGACGTGATCGGTTATTGTACATGCTCTTATAGCTTGTCTAAAGAGTGAGACGATATCTGGTTGCTAGTACTTAAATAAGGTGGTGTTTGGTTGCCCCTCTTAAAATTTAGTCGTTGTTCCATCTAATGTTTGGATACATGTATAGAGTATTACATATAGACTAATTACGAAATTAATTGCATAGTTTGCGACTAATTTGCGAGATGAATCTTTTAAACTTAATTAGCTCATGATTTGACAATGTGGTGCTACAGTAAACATATGCTAATGCTGGATTAATTAGCCTTAAAATTTTATCTCGTGGAGTATTGACGGATTATGTAATTTGTTTTTTTATTAGTATCCGAACACCCCATGCAACATCCTCCCAACACACCTCCTAAATTTTAGTCACAGGATTCAAACACCACCTAAATATAAACAATCGTCACCATGTATTTATTATTATGTGACACGTATTTATTATGTGACACTCTTACTGTTATTTGCAATACAATAATATATCATAAAATGTGTTAATCTTACACTAACACAAACATTTTATAAATAAATGGATAAATGCTTGCATCCAACGAGCTCCGGCTCGGGGGAACGTAGAAAGGCCATTATTGTTTTCTGGATTCGGCTTGGCGCCTTGGCTAGATGAGCGGGTGCAAGTTTGCCTGGCCTGCGAGAGGCACCGTCGTCCAGTCATTCGGATTACCTGAAATTTTCGGACTGGATAGTTCGGGTATTTAAAAATTCTCAAGGTAATAGAAATCGATATTTGATGTTTGTCCTGAAAAAACACTACTATAATTCGGGTTCGGGTTCAGGTATAACTAATCTACCCGAGACTAAAAAAAAGGAACTACAAACTGTACAGGAATCTAGCCGTCGTCAAGACCTGGGAGACGCTGTCGAGTTGGTCGCCAGCCGAGACCAGACGTGGACGCGTTGGCATGGTGGTGCGCCGGTGCTATCGCTGCCCGCCGGGTGCATGCGCCATATGGACTGTGGGTGTGGAAAACAAAGGACCCGGATCTGAGAGCCGGACATCGGGTGCTGCGTCGCGCCGTCGCTCATCAGGCACAAGCAGGGCCAGCCGCCAGCGACGCAGCATCGCGCCTCGTGCGTCGGGTGGCCTCAGGAGGTCGTGTCGACGTCTCTCTTGCCTTCCGCGCTCTGCGGCTCTACCTTCGGGAGTTCGGGGATTTGGGATTTGAGGCCACGGACGCTGGTGGAGGGCTGGAGGTAGACTATTGATGGATGATGGATTATTTCTGGGGCGCTGGGGATGGGCTCTCCTCTGAATAGGGACATCACGTAGCATGGGTAATTCGGGTATGGAGTTGTTACCCGAATTACGGCAACTAATTTCGGGTATCTATAATCAGTATAATCAGGTATTTTGGGTACGGGTTCAGGTAGTTCAGGTTCGGGTATTGGATATTGGGTATTTTGCCTAGTCCTAGTTCAGCCTTAGCTCCCGTGATACGTAAAAAGTCGGTGTTTTTCCAAAGCCTCTAGCTCCATCGGTGTAAGGGGTGCGGGCATAGTGAGAAAAAAGGGCTTTAGCGCATGGATAGGCGGTAACGAATTAGCATTCGCACCAAGTAGGCTAGATAAAACCATGAATCAATCGACTTGCTCCGGCATGCGCTAAAGCCCTGTTTGGCCCCTATTTGGCTAGGCTTCTTTGGCTCCGGCAACGCGCCAAAGTTCCGGAGGAGCCGGAGCCGGAGGAGCTATAAATCATGGCTTCTCAGCTCCATGTTCATTTTATGCGAGAAGAGAGAAGCGCTTGTTAATTTGGTGGTTGCTTGCTTGGTAGCTCGCCACTCACTCACGAAAATCACTGCTCACGTCTAACGAATGTGATTTTCTCTCACAACAATCAAGCCGGAATAAAGATTTTCAGTCCCATCGAACCGAAACTTGAAAACGGCTTCTATGAATAGTGTTGCTATAGTTACTGATGTAGTAGAAGTCCTAGACCACAAGAAATCGTGCCAAACAGGCTCTAAGCCTGGGCCCGACTCCCGAGGACAAGCCATCCTTAACAAATACTCCCTCCGTCTCCACGATAGTAGGCGTGACTCAAAAAACGCTAAGACAAAGAAGCACCTTAATTACCACATGAATCTCTTCGGTTCCTGTCTCTAAATAAATGCTGCACATTCACTTCCACCTCAAAATATAACTGCAGGAAACGTCGCCGTTAATCAAATCACTTGGCCCGCGCGCATGCATGCAAATCGAAATTTTCTCCTGGCTACTCTAACTGACGTGCACTAACAGGACAGGAGTAGTACTAGAAGTCCAACAACTAGCAGCAGTAAATTCTAAATTCTACGTGCAAGCCGAGGAAGCGCCTTGTATCATAGGACACCCAAGAAAAACAGTTACGCCTATTATCTTGAGACGGAGGGGGTCCATAACAACCAATTACGCTCAAATTCGAAACGCACTTAAGCCAGACTAAGAAAAGCATGCATTTTGCACGATGGAGCTAATAAGGTCAGAATGTCGTACAGACAATAGATCATCAAAAACTTAATCCCATAAGCTAGTGTAATGGAATATATGTACTCCATAGCTAACAAGTCACTTCTTTCTTATGATGTCAATAAGTCGCATAAGCCAAAGGCCCGTTCGGATGGTATGGTTATTGAGAAATTTGGATGGTTTGGAGAAATTTGGAGAATTTGTGAGAAAAATTGTTCGGATGAAAAAAAAAGCGAATCAATCGGGTTTAAAGGGCGCATAAACGGAGCCAAAGGCGAGAGGTTGAAATTCTAGTGAATGGCTGATCATGTGAAACAGTCGCGAGTCCATAGAAACGACCATATTTTGACCTAGCAATGCATTGTCATTGCCCCGGACCGACACACCGGACAATAAAATACTATGGTCGATCGATGCCGTTCTTTGTCGTACAGTCGCACGGCGACAGCCGACGGACCCGTTCAACAACCAAATCTGTCAGGCCCGGCTGCTCGGGCGTATCATGAAAAATTCCTAGTGCACGGCCTTGCATTGGATCTGTCATGGCACAAGTCCCCGGTGGTGTGCAAACCTCTACTGGTATACCGAGACGCAGCAGGTTGACGGTGGAAGAAAGAAATGAGGAAGACGAGCGAAGTGCACAGAGACAGCAACGCAACCGCAAAATCATGACAGGCAGAGCAGAATTCCAAATGGACGTGCACAGAGTCGAGCTGAACGACGACTGACGCCTGCTGGCTGCTGCCTGGCGCTCCCGATGGAAACGAGCCGCACCGCACCACAGCCGCGTGGAGTCGGCAGGACGAGTTCTCCGCCGTCCCGCGCGTCGCGTGCTACCATTAAATTCCGGCGTAAGTATAAAAAAGTGCACCGGCGGACCGGCCACGCGGAGGCGAGCCGAGTCCACTGCCTGGCCCAAGTGCCGCTGCCGTCCGTGCCCCCAAGGAGGAACGATTCCTCCACATCCGACACCGTGCGCGCACCCAAAAACCAACGCGCCCGCACCCGGCCCAGGCCGTAAAAAACACCGCTCCGTGCTGCTGCCGTAAAACCCACACGTCTCATTGACTTGGCCTATCTCTGCCTGCGGATTTTGCCTCGCGGAGCTCACACGCCCACAAGCAGGAACACACACCACACCACTCCCATCTCCCCCGAGCCCCGTTCCCCTTCCCCTCATGTTGAACCATTCCCATTCCCGGCCCGATTCCCGCTCCCCGTTCCTCCACCACGGCCTCGCCGACGACGACACGGAGCACCGGGCGGCGCAGCAGGGGATGGACCCGCCGTCGTCGTCGGGCCGCCCCGCCCCCACCACGCCGCGGCGGCAGCTGCAGGGCCCGCGCCCGCCCAGGCTCAACGTCCGGATGGAGTCGCACGCCATCAAGAAGCCCTCGGGGTCGTCGGGGGTTGTTCCGCTCGGGGGGCAGGGGCAGGGGAGGCCGCGGGACCCCCACCACCAGCAGCCGCAGCCCGGGCGGGCGCCCGTCATCATCTACGACGCGTCGCCCAAGGTCATCCACGCCAAGCCCAGCGAGTTCATGGCGCTCGTGCAGCGCCTCACGGGCCCCGGCGTTGGCGGTGGATCCGGCTCCGGCACGCCGCCTCCTCCGCCGCCGCCCGACGCGCAGTACGACGACGACGACGCCATGCTGCTGGGGCAGGCGTTCCTGCCGCCCGAGCTGCTGCTCTCGCCGTCCGCCGCCATGTCCCCGGCCGCGCGCCTGGCCACCATCGAGCGGTCCGTGCGGCCCATGCCCTCCGCGCCGGTGGCAACGGACTACGACGTCGACGTACAGGGTTCCCGCGGCGGCGACGACGGCGGCACCCTCGCGGCGGTGCTGGGCCCGGCGCGCCACCCCAGCATCCTGTCCCCGCTGCCGTCCTCGCTGCCCCCCGCCGCCGCGTCGGGCCTGTTCTCGCCGCTGCCCTTCGACGCCAGCAGCATCAGCTGGCTCAACGAGCTCAGCCCGATCCTCCGGGCAGCAGCAGCAGCAGCGTCCACGGCCAACGCCGGCGCCGGCGCCTCTTCGTCCGGCTTCGGCCCGGGCGGCGCCACGAGCAACGGCGGCGGATCCCGGGCGCCGCCGCCGGCGTACTACTCCGACCCGTTCGTCCCCAGCCCCCGCAACCTCCTCGCCACGCCCACTGTGCCGTCGCCGGCCACGTGCGCCGAGTTCTTCGGCAGCCTGCCGGATCTTTAGCTACCTCGCCGCCCCTGCACCTCCTGCAGCTGCAGCCGGCGCCGCTCCCGTCCAAGACAGATGCAGCAGCGGCCGAAACTTTCTGCGACATTTTTCCACACCTTTTCCTTCTCCCCCTGTAACACCTTTTTTTTTTCTCTCTCTTATGGCGGGTAGGGGCAAGTTGGTGGGCCCGGCACTGATGCTAATTTGATTACTAGTGCAGCAGGGGGAGTGATGAATGAGAAAGGGCGTGAGAACAGAATGCGATGCAAGAAAGTTTTCCGGTACCAGTAGTAGCGGATGAGAGGACTACTAAAAGCGGCCGGCCGGCCAGCACATGGCTTTGTTTATTTCTTCTTTTCCTCTGGATTTGTTATTATGGTTTGTTTAATGGAGGATTTGTTAATTCTTTTAGCTTGGTGATGTGATGCGCTTATCATTGTGTCATGCTGACTTGGTGCGTTGCAACCGAACTCACACACACACACACACAAGTGTGGTGCTCTGCTCTCCCTACTTGTGTGGGTTGTCGCCCCAAATCTAGAGCCAACTAATGCCTCTATTAAAAGGACCAAAATATACTTCCTCATGTTACAAATATAGGTCTATCTAGATTTATTTTGGGAGTTGCTATATTTCCTACATTTAATGCTCCATGCATTCGCTTTGATGTGAAATATATGAACCATCTCAAGGCGACGTCTATCTAGATTTAGGCCCTTTTCGATCTGCATCCAAGGGTCGATCTCGCATCCTGTTCTCTGTTGTTTTTTTTTGTAGCAGGCAACAAAACGGGTCCGCAAATGAACCCGCAAACCCAACCAAAGCGACTACTGGCCCGCCAAACCTTAACGGGTGCAAGATCCGATACCGCTATATCAAATAACTACTCATTTGGGCCACAAAGCGCTTATTCGGTCCCAATAAAACAAAGACACGAAATTACAGCTCTGCCACTACACCCTCCAAAGATGAAAGAAACACCCGATTAATCTGGATCTAGAAGGGGAATTAGAGTGGAGAGAAGAGCGCGAAAATTAGGTAAAACACAAGAAAGATGAACAAGGGCAAAGGATATGATCGCCTAGGAAAAAGGTACTAACCAAACCAAGATTATTCTATTTCTTGCCTTCATCTCCTTTTTTTCTCATTGCATCAGTTCAACTCAAACACCTAGATCGTAACCATCTTGCTTCATCTTCTTTGTTGTTTGTTGCTATAGCTCTATAGTTATCCAAAGTAAAGTACACTTGTCAAACCGGATTTAGATTTCCGAGTTATAGTGAGGAACAGAGTAGTATGTCAAAGTCACATTTGCATTTTCACAGAGCCTAAAAAATTTAGTAAGACATTCACCTGCATTTAAGAGTAGGATGATACATCATGAGTTATGTAAACTGCATTTAAGTGGTAGCACAAATCATAACAGTGACCATAGAGCAAATCTAGTGGGATCCATGCCTACATGGTGGTTGATGACTACAAGAACAATGTGTTATGAACCTAGGCAACTTGTATAGAATTTAGGGGCAACTTGTATAGAATTCAGAGGCAACTTGTAAAGGATTTAGGGGCAACTTGTATAGAATTCAGAGACAACTTGTATAGGATTTAGGAGGAACTTGTATAGAATTCAGAGGCAACTAGTATAGGATTTAGAGGTAACTTGTATAGAATTTTGGTGAAACTTGTAAAGAACTCAGAGGCAACTTGATCACAAATTGATCAGCTTGTGGAATTCCTTGCAAATAACAGAATTGCCATAGAGGTAGACACCCTTCTTTTTTGCTTGTTTGTTTTGGTTGTAAATTTAGATGACCACCACAAATGTCACTGTCCACTAGCTGACTGCAATGCGAAAGATCTTCTTACACCTAAAAATAACAGTTTGTTGCATGTTTATGCAGGTTCACAACGAAAGACTGCATCAAATAGGAGATGAAGACTTCTTAAGGGAAATGGGTATTGGATGTGATAACACTGGACTAGAACTTACACAATTATCAGAGATAACAGCTAACATACATTGTGAACAGGTTTGAAAAATTGATTTATCTTATTATATGCAGAGTGCTTTGGCAGTGTTGCTTTCACTAATCGGTTTATCTAAATATATGCATAGTGCTTTAGCAAGAGATTTAGAAGCCAATATTCAAAGTTACTATAATTTTGATTCAAACATTGTAAACCCCAAGTATACTAATGAGGTAAATAAAAATTGCAGTTATTACATATTAAGAAAACTACAATTGCAATGCTACAAACTTGTAATTTAGACTATTCCTAATTGCAACTACTGATATTTGAGTTTCTTTTTGTTTGTTTGTAATGAACAGGATAGTTCATCAACACTACTGGACTACAACGATTATGGACAGGATAGTCTTCTTCATATGCAGGGTGCATCCGAAAGAGAAGTGGAATTCAATCCTGAGAGCTACTACATGTTTCATACAAACATTGAAAATGCCAACAATACTCATGAGGTAAAAAGGAATTCAACTTATAACACATATTGTCAGTGTGACATATATAAGTTTGTCAAACCCTGTGCAAAAAATATAATAATAATAATGCAGCAGGCACTACAAGTTTGACTTACTTTGTCTTGCTTCAATGTGTTATTCCACTACTTTGTCTTCCTCTCTATCTCCTTGACATTTGACTGACCTCATGCTGTAACAGCAGAGCTCAATACCACCAGTGAACTACAGCAGCATTGGACAAGAACAAGAAATGCAGAGATAAGAAGTGAGATTCCTAAAACTCGCATTTCACAATTTTTTTTAAAAAAATGGGTACTAACAAAAGAACTAAGATTTTATTGTAATGGTGAACCCCAAAATTTGCAGGTGATCATGTCACCAGGAGGAACAAGTTATGTACTATCACTGGGTGGATCAAGCTATACAAGCCTTATGAACCAAGTCATAGCTCAGGCTAAATCTTCAAATCAGAATTATGAAGAATTTTTGTCATCTGAAATGACAGGAAGTTTCATGGACACACTCAATGAGCCATTTCCAGTAGAGGTATTTACTTGTTCTCTACATATACAGCTAAATTACTTTGTTTGCTACAATACAAGATGAAATATCTAACAGTACACCTTTTTCTTTACCGGTGAAAATAGAACCGGATGTTCATCACTACCAGCATAATCTATGAGCCGCCACAAGATGATGCAGACGACCTGCGAAATGAAGAATCAGAAGCAGTACCAGAGTTTGCAAATGAAGAAAACATGGTACATGAGGAAAGACAAGATGAACAAGGCAGTGAAGGGGAGCAAGATACAGAGGGCAACACGACAAAACAACATCTAGTAGCAAGTGAAGAACAAGATGAAGAAGAGCTCAGGGCAATTCAGATTGAAAGCCAAAGTATTATGGCAGCTGAGCGTTTGTCTCAGGAACATGCTAGCAGGCATGTTCCTCAGCTAGGCATGAAATTCAAAACAATAGAAGATACGTACAGTTTCTACAATGACTACGCATTTATAGTCGGGTTTTCATTGGTCAAATGGCACACATACAAGTGCCAAGACAAGAAAGATCACAACTATGGCCAGGTAACAAGGGTCACATACAAGTGTAACTTGTCTGGTAAGAGAAAGGAGGATGATAGCACTGATGTTTCAGGAGTACGAAGCACAAGAAACAACAAAAGGAAGATTTCTGTTTCAGGAGTCCAAAGCGCAAGAAAGAACAAAAAGAAGATTTCTGGTACACCGCCAACACCTAATCCTATGCCAAACAAAAGGAAAACAAGTACACTTGTACCAACCGAGTGCCCCGCTGAACTTGTTGTCACACTACAGAATGGAGAATGGACAATAACCAGGTTGAATCTTGAGCATAATCATGCGTTTGCAAGCAAGGATCAGAAGAATAAACTGTTTTCACAGATTAGGATGACTGAAATGGAGAAGGAACTTATTGCAACATTCAACAAAGTGAACCTACCAGATAGGAAGATTATGGCAGTCCTATCTTATATAAGAGGGGATGTCACTCCATACAACAAGAAACATATCAGCAACAAGAAGACAAAGATAAATAAGGCAACATCGGATAATGACATGCAGCAAGTGTATGACTGGTTCTCTAAGAAACAGGCTGAGGACCCAATATTCTTCTACAAGTTTTCCATAGATGAAAACAACAAAGTGAAAAACATTTTCTGGTCCAATGGTACAAGCAGAAGGTACTATGAGGAATTTGGAGATTGCATCAGTTTTGATACAACCTACAACACAAACAAGTACTCCCTCAAGTTTGCACCAATTGTTGGTATTACAGGTCATGGGGACAATTGCCTGTTTGGCTGCGCTTTCATAATGGATGAAACTACAGAAACTTTTGAGTGGTTGTTTCAGACAATGCTGACTTGTATGGGAGGAAAGCACCCTAAAACTATAATCACGGACTAGGACCTAGCAATGAAGGCTGCTATCAGAAATGTTCTACCAGACACTATTCATCGGAACTGCTTCTTCCACATTGTGAAGAAAGCTCAGGAGAAAGGTGGCAGGATATTTTCATTGGAAAGGAACAAGAAGCTGCATGATGATCTCTTTGACATTCTTAGGAACTCATTGACCAAAACAGAGTTTGAGTACTTGTACAAGAAGTTGCCACAAACATATGATGTCGGTGGCTTCAGATACCTTGATGACATGTGGTTTAATAGGGAAAATTTTGTTCCATGTTACTTCAAGAAGCATTTCTTCCTTTTCATCAACTCTCTGATGAGAAGTGAAGGCACAAATGCATTATTCAAACTGGATGTCACACCAAGGTATAGTATTATGAGATTTATGAATGAGTTCCAAAGAATTTCAGATACAATGAGAAAAGAATCAAGCGTAGCAGGACTTTGAAACCAGATCAATGCCTTGGTTGAGTATGGCATATGAGTTCGAAAAGCAGTGCAAGCAAGGTCAGCATAATGAAAGATATTCTTCAAGTTTCAAAAGGAGCTCATATTGGCAACAAAGTATGAGGCTCAAGAACTCC